TCTTTTTGTTTTCCGATGGTCTTAGGCGACCCCTGTGAAAGGGTCGTTCGACCCCCAAAGGGGTCGCGACCCACAGGTTGAGAACCGCTGCATTATTAGATCACATGCCCCAAATTGCAATTCTTTGTTGTTCCCGAATAAGTACATTTTGCTAAAGAAATCCTGGCTGTCTATTTATTTAAGATCAACACTGCTCTAATGAACACCTATTTTTGTAAATAAAGTCTTATTTGAACACAGCCATGCTCATTTGCTTATGTTTGTCTATGGCTGCTTTTATGTTACAACAGCAGAATTGAATAATTGTGAAAGAAAATCTATGACTCACAAAGCCTAGACTTGTTACTATCTGGTTCTTTACAGGAAAAGTTTGCTGATCCCTGAGTTTAGAGCTAAAATATAGATGAATTTCATGCACATAATATTGAAAAGAATGTCAGACAATCAACAAAATAAGGCAACCTACTGAATGGAAGAAAATAATTGCATATATGTGATAAGAGGCTAATATCCAAAATTTATAAAGAACTCACACAAGTCAATAGCAAAAACAAACACTATGATTTTTTAAATGGGCAGAGGTGGAAAGCATTTTTTGTCAGTCTGTTGAGATCTTGCTTCCAGGCATAGCTTCTGTTTGACTCAAACTCTTATAAAAATTCTCAAAAAAAAAAAATGGGTAGAGGATCTAAATAGACATTTTCCAAAGAAGACATATAGATGGCCAATGGGTACATGAAAAAAATGCTCAGTGGGCCGGCCAAGTGGTGCGTTGGTTAAGAGTTGGCTTGGGATGCCAGCCCTGAGCAGCAGGGCCCTGGATCGGATCCCACATGAGGGCCAGTGATGTTGTGCCCTCTACAGCTAAGATGGTGAACAACAGCTCAACCTGGAGCTGGGCTGCAGTGAGTCGCCGACAGTGTAGGCTGCAGTGGGGCTGGCGGCAGCTGGCATGAGCTTTCGTGAGCTTTCGTGAGCTGCCGTGAGCGGCCGTCCAATGGCTGGCGACTGACTGCCTCACCCGGGAAGAGCGCAATGATAATACCAACATGGGCCAGTGGAGTGATGTCCTCCACAACTAGACTGAACAACAAGACAGCAACTTGTCTTTTCCCCTTCCCCAATTCCCCAATGCTGCTCCCCTCCCCCAGGTCCCCAATAAAACCTTTTTTAAAAAAGAAAAGATGCTCAGCATCACAATCATCAAGGAAATGCAAATGAAAACCACAATGAGATATCACCTCACACCTGTATCAAAAA